ATATAGCAGAGCACCCAAGGTGGATAATTCATTAATTATATTAATATGAATCAATATGTGTGTGAGTTAAAATTAGCTACACTCCTTATCTTATGCGATTTAAATGCATAAGTTGAAATTTTGATATAGAAACTGAAAAAAAAAATATATATGTTGTTGATCAATGCGCGACTTTAACACATAAAACTATTAAAATTTCATTAATTTTACAACAACTTTTAGAAAACTGCGCATTTCCAAGAACATTATATAAAACATAGTGTAGGCTCAATCGTTACATCATGCATACATTGCAGAGAGAAATTTATTATGGAGATATGAACGAGGCTGGCGCTGACAACGTTCGCACTAAGATTACTGACAATATCATAAACCTTGCGTTCAACACCTCAAAGCACATTCACTGTAACTAATATATATGGCTCTAATTCCTTTTTATTTAACCTTACGGAAGATACTATTGTAGAATATAAGTGTAAAAATAAAAATGTATCATTACCTAATTAAATCAAATCGATAAAAATTAAATTTTGCTTTTAATTTATTTATTCACATGGTAAACATACAACTTTTCCATGCAATACTCCGTCATAAACTTTCGTAAATTACGTAATTGAAACAATGTTACCATTTATAATACGAAGTATGATTATAAGGTAACCGTTTGTTAATTTCATTAGAGTTTAAATACAGACAATTAATGAATACCTTAAATAAAAAAAAAAATAATATAAAGAAACATATACTGTGTTTTTATAGTCTCAAGGAACGCAATCTTTTATATTAAACAATGTTATAATCCAAGGAGCGCTTTCCCGCATTACAATATCTTGTTTACTTGGAAAATGTCATTTTCCCATACTTTTTTCGTAAAACAATCATCTTCTTACTGAAATTGTTGTTTTATTAAAATTTTGACAATATTATTACAACATGAACTATAACTGAAACTTGTTAAATGAAAGGAATTTAATACGAAATTATATTTTTATGTGGTGGTGAAACATTTTGAAATTGTATTGATAAAATTAATTTAATATACTCGTACAAGATAGTTGTATACTAATTAATTGTGCACTTCCTTATTTTCCCTTCAGAATACATTAATTATAAACCGTGTCAGATACGAGGGTGCATTCCTCTAGGCATTCCAATGGTTCACACGTATTACAATCTACATTCTTGTTTACAAATCTCCGGACAATGTTTAATTGTAATATTTATTCCGCCTAATATAATTCCAAGATTTGGGTCTGCTTTTTCATTGTTTCTTTTGAAATTTGTAAACTTGTCTAGCATCAATATATTGTGTTGTAAACTTAAAATTTGGATGCTTAGTTAGCATGAAGGATAAAATAAAATATAGAAAACAATAGAGAACAGTATTAGGGTAGTTTTGCCTTACGTCAGTTAATACGTGCCACAATAGGTGTCTAGAGTACTTTTAGTGGTGCCTGCAATACACGTACAGGCTACATAACCGGCACCAACTATGTTACTGGCTAAATATTATTTTTATAGGGTTGTTGATTTTATTTTGTGGATGATATTGCTTTTAATCCAAACAATTTTATTCATACCAGATTTTTTTATTTTATTTGATAACAGAAATTAATATATTTATTAAAGTTTTACATTAAAAATATATTACAAATAATATTTTAATTTGTAACCATAACATTATTAAGTAACCTTTAAAAAGTATTTCTACTTTCGTATTACAGCTTTTAAATGCATTTTTACATTTCAATCCAGTTTGTAGTCAAATGAATGAAATCGTAATAACTTCTTGAGCTAACAACTCAAGACAAACTGGAACGAATCCTGAGCTGTTTAACATCCTATTTACAAGCAGTTAAACTTTAATGGAGTCAAGAGACTTCAGTTCAGGTTGAAGTTTGAAGGAGCGGGAAGACATGAGTGGTTTAAGTAGTGAAGAGTTTTAGCTTGCAATTTTAAAGAATCTTTTATAAGCAAAGTCTTTTATGTTTATATTTACTTCATTAGGACCTCAATAGCTGATTATGGGAGAAGAAACATCTCAACTGCAAATATCTTTTATTTTACAAATCATATTATAAGGATAAATTTTAACTCTCTAAAACTTTTGCTTGTCATTATGAGCACCAAGCAATAGTGTGGATTTGCATGATAAATAACATATACGAAAAATACAGGTTAACTAGATTCAGGAAAAAATATATTTTACATTATTACCAAACAAACATAGCACATTTGTTTAATTTGTATTTATTCCCATTTATAAACAAAACACATTATAGAGCCCGTGTCAAATGTCCTTTAATAAGTAAGGGTCAAAATATATTATTCTGATAATTGTCTTTAGGTGAAGGAACTCACAATTTGTGTATAAAATATATAAAAGTTTAGGTAGTAAAATACTTAAAATTTAATATTAAGCATAGTTTCTTTCGTTTATTTTATTTAAGAAATGTATGACAAAAATATAACTTACAAAACATTACACATTTTTTACAATAACATAGATAACAAATGTTGTTATTTATTAACGAATACTCGGGAAAAGAAACGATTATAATGGGTTGTTTCCCATTATAGTATATGTTTGTTTAGATATATTTTTTTACCAACAACTGTTGACCCAAACTAAAGCATTGACAAATTTAATAATCGTGTAAAGGAATGAAAATGCATAAAAATAACTCAACTAATTACCTAATTAACTATGTAAACTATGTAAACGATGTGGAAACTATGTAATTATCGTCACATCGGATTTTGTATTTTTTTTCTTTACACATTATTGTTTATGAATTATAATTTTTACCTAGCCAAAAAATAAGAGATAAATATAGATGGAATGTGTTTAACTCAATATAAAAGCTTAGTTTTAAAAGTATCGTACCTAGTTCTTTAGAACGAAATGTTATAATTATCCTATATATGCATTAAGAAAATAAATTCAATTATATAAAACTGAAATATGCTAAAATGACGAAATCAAGTTTTGAATGTCTACTTGTCAGTCAATAGCTTGTGAAAGCCGATGAATAAATCATAACTGACAGGTTAAAACTGCGTTTCCAAAGGAATTAGTGAATATTTTATAGTGATCCATTGCAAAATTAAAAGGAATACACTATCAAAAGGTATTAAACATAGATATTTATGTTTTTAGACGCAACTGTTACAAAGCACATTTATATCTTAGGTATGGACTTGATTTAATATGTAAAATGAATATAATTTATTCGGCATACAGTTCTTAAAAAGGCTATAATAGTAGACAAGCCTTAATAAGCGCTGACAGTAAATTTACTTGGACTAGTTTTTTTTTATTATTATTATTATTTTATCATGTGATTGAAGGCAACTAAATTGGGTTATAATTGAAAATAACGTATAATAGGTACGTCATTTAAGTTTCAAAGTTTACGTAAAGTAGGTAATGTGAAGCCCAAATATTACATAATTTCATCTACATTAGGGATTCACATTTTGTAATTATTATTTACCATGAAAGTGAGGTTATTTGTTTTCTATGCTTTCAATAGTAAACTCAAAGATTACATAAACTAAAACAAACACTTTCGTCACAACAAACCTGCATACTCAGAAATTTGAAATCAGTCCGATTGGATTTTTACTAAAAATTTCCATAAATAAGTAATTGTTATTCCTTATTGAAATAACATTAGACTTTCTTAGTACTTCGGTTTGATACTACGAGGGGGGTTAATAGCCACTTTTGTGTATTAAGAGCGCAAAGTAGGTTATTGCCACTCCAGAACTGTAGATGGCCGCACGAAGCTTAGTCTGAGTGCGGCCATAAATTTCGAGAGCGGGAATGACTGTTTGTGTTCATAACACAATCCAGATTTTCCTACCACTATAATTAACTCATCATTCCAGACGGATTAACTTTTACGTTCCATTTTGAATGATTAATAGTTTACGTCATGTTATGATGTAATGACTACAATTAGGATATCACGACCAAGCATCTACCAGTGCCGCGTCGTAGTGTCATGTCACGGCCGCCTTAAAAAACTCCAGGCCTCGGCCTTCGAACTGGCAACGTCGCAAGTGGTGTTGTAACAGCTGTTTTTGTTTGGAAGCAACTAATGGTATATGTGTATTTACGAAAGATTGGTTACTGGACTATGACAATATTGACTCCGCTTAAAAAGGGACAGATATAGATTTTAATTCATATTGTTTCAATTTTCAATTATGTATATTTTATTTTTAATATTTTAATAAATTTATGTTCATAAATTAAAAACTAAATCAACAAAGTGCGAATTAATGAGCTGATGTCACCTGTCTGCCATTTTATCTTATGGGAAGTCTGTCACTGAACAACACCACTTGCGATGATGCCAATTCTACCAGGCCGCGGCCTGTAGTTTAAGGCGGCCGTGGTCGTGTACTGGTCAATTGAAAATATTCGTGCATTATCCTTCCGTCTTATGTGTTATGTTTTATGTACTTGTTCTGTTCCCACCGACAACCTCAATATGATTTTATTATGTATCTGTCTTATGATGAGATTTTAGGCTTGAAACCGGTCACCATAGGCGACAGTATTTTTACAGATGGACAGGTAAAATGAGGTATTTAAATGAACAACTTGCTTAACAAGAGATATAAAGTTGTCCACTGTTCAATTTAAGTCCAACAACTCATCAAACTTATAAATCGCTCGTCTTTCCAGTCCTTTGGGATTAGATTAGCACGACTCCTTAAACTATTTACAAAAGTCAGTTTACACAAGGATTCAGAATTATACTTCCTTTAAATTTCACAGGCAAAAATATACCAGTTTAGGAAAACCCCGTCACAGAAAGTGCATTACCATGATTATTTAAAGTTGTTCTAAGGAGCTACAATTTCTACCAATAACCGTCTAAAAGCATTGTCGATAGGCCAGGAATCGACTTTGTCCCTGCCATATTGAAAATGTTATACAACAAAATGGGATGCTCCATGTGTTGAAATAATATTTTTTGTTTCAGATATACAATGAAGTCTAGTGAAGCGGGATGATGACGTCGGACAAAATGGCGGCCACTCTGTGGCTCATCACTATTTCGCTCGTTTCCGCTGGTCAGTATACATCCTTTTTTACCCTTAAACAGCTATAGATTAATAAACATATATTTCAAACAAATGTAATATTTTTGATACGCTTGTAAATTTGAACACGGTTTTTATGTTATAAAAGGATTGAGAAAAATTGTCTTTATTATATAAATGCTTTAGTAATCGTGGTTTCGTATTCGAAAAGGATGTTATTAAGGGTGGCCGAATAAACTGAACATTTTAAAATATGCATTACTTAATTTACTTAATCGTTTTTGCTAAAACCATAACTTTTATTAGGCCTAAATTTAAATATTAGCTAACTCTCATTATTTATTACATTCACCATTTACTGAACATAGTTGGATTAATTTGTGAGATGCTCTTTACTTATGGAAAGCAATCCAATTTAGGTGGTGTTTACTTTCACTTATGCATGATTAAATCATTTTCCATTACGCGTCCCAGAATTTCATGGTAACCATTAATTTGTAACTACTTACTCGTTAACATAGGTCTAAATCCTCCAGGGATCGGGGTTTGTAGGTGTGGATGCGGAATTTAAAAAACCCTCAAAAAATGACACAAACACAAGTATGGTAATTTTTTTCCCAAAAAATTGTATCAAAAGGTTAAACACTCCATTCTAGCAATATTATAAACACCACGGTTAATATTGTAAAAAATTAACATAAGATGTGTTTTTAAAACGTTGCTTTATCTCATGTGACCTCAAAAAAGATCTTGACCATATCAACACTTACGAATTAAAGCTTGCTTAAGCATTTTAACATCTGATGCGTCATCAATTTTTTTTCACACAGTGGCTTAATTTTTATTAAGATGATTTTCTCTTACAACCCGGGGATTAATTTAGTTTTAATGGCTCGAAATGATATCGTGCCGTCCAAAATGAAAGTTAGTAAAGCAAAATCGCTGTGCTGTCTTTACGGGCCATTACACATACGTATCATATGCCAACATACGGTTAGCCCTCGCGACAGTAACTCCGACGCATATACTATCCGTAAAAAAAAAACGATTTCCTGTCGGCCACTCTGTATTGCTCTTCGCATTTTTGTAATACATATTAATAACTTGTGTTCGGTTTGAAGGTATATGCCACCAAACACACGATTGGTAAAGTGTATTGTATGGATGTTACGCAAATTATGGTATTATGCGATAATACTAACATTGATTTTTAATTTAAAATTAAGTTAGGATAATTATTTGTAGATTTAGTTCGAATAATGAAATATGCTTATATTATTTAGACTTCCACTAAAATACAATTACATTCGTTAATCACACTGAATATACTATCATGGGTGAACCAGTTTACGTGAAACCAAGCTGTGCTAGGCTGACTAATATAGGTTTAGATTACCTGTTTGCTGTCAACAAGATTCTTGTTAGTACAAGGAACAGCTGTGTCCTGCATTCAGAAAAATAGCTGCATCAACCAAGGATCGTTTTGTCAGCAAAACAGTTAATCTAAATATATTAAGTTCTTATAGACCGTTAAGAAGTCATTCCATAATGACATTATTTGGCAACCCTTCCGATTATATCAAAATACAACTGACATATATTCTATTTTATTTAACTCTTTTCTGAATTGGTATTCAGAGAACAACGACACTCTCTGGTTCTACGGCGGCAACGACTCTACGCCTCTCTACTCTGACTCGACCTCAGAGGAGTGGCCAGTCACTACAGCGCCTCCCAGACCAACCTTCTTCTTACCTCCGCTGCCCCACAATCACCAGGGGTCTAGATGGGGTCCGTACTTTGAGGATGGCCCAGGGCCAGTCAATGTCACTGCTAGGGTCGGGTCCACAGTGCAACTGGACTGCAAGATAGGCATGCTGCATGACAAAACAGTAAGCAAGATGTGGTTTTACGATATTGGACCCAATGTGTTGGCTGCTAAAATGGTGGAATTTTTTAAATGCAATACCTTACCAAAATTCATCTTAAAAATGAAGGGGAAACATCCCCATTAGAAATTAACTGTATTTCTTATAATGGAAAAGTTAGATATTGGTTCACTTCATGTGTGACACCCTGTATAAGGGATTCTCATTAGCCCCTATTCCTTTCCGGCATGTTTATAACTTACTGACTTTTTAACAAAACAAAAATGTAAGGTATCTAGGCTAATGGCCCACAATACTTCTCTATTAATCCGTTTGGATAATAGGTATCTTATACATTTAAAAGAAACGTGGTTTAAATTGTATAAGATACAATTTAACTGCCCATTGAATAAAAAACCCTAGCATCGAAATCATTTTTGCTTTTCCAAAATAATGTTTATATTACAATACTCTTTCAAGACAAATTCTCATGCTACAATACTCTTGCTAATCTCAAAAGCTCTTAGTGTAGAAAAATTATTTTTGTCTATATTATTAGGTTGAATTTTGAGTAATACGAAATACTCTGCTTTCAAACCGAAGGAAATTCTTCTTGATGACCTACAAATTAAAAAGCAATAGGGTAGAGTATGTTTCCAACACATCCTTAAACCACAATGTGTATTTTTGCCAGCTAGTACAATACTATTCATCAATCAGCACAGGTTTCCCATCACCTAAGTTGCGGAAGTCCCACAATCCCCAAACTCGAGTTTCCAATATCGTAGTTGGTGACGTCATCAGATGGTTCACCGCCCATCAGCGTCTGCTGCATTATTCATTCACTACTCAAGCCCAGGCTGATTGCTTCACACTGCATGTTTTGCGGGAAACCTTTTACAAATTGCGAACATCGTGACTCCGGTGTTTCAAAACAAAACATTAGGACCTTTTTAAATTGATTTGGTTTCATAAAAAAATTATTTGAATAGGTGCGTTTGTAAGAATTATTATTTGTTGAACGAAGATTTTGTGTACATTCGTGTACGTGTTACCAAATGGATATTGCGTACTTTGTATTCACTATTAGTAGAATTAATTGAAGCTACTACACTTCTGCTTTTGTTATCCTTTTCTAGGGTCTGCGCAAAATTCAGCATACCTAGTATCCAGCTATATTATGGTAATCTGAAATATAAAGATTGTAATACAGGGATAATTTCCTAAGTGAATATATAAACTTTTAAAAATTTAACATGGGCTATGTGGGGTTGGGGGGGGGGTGTTGATTAGCCACAAAACCCAAATTCCATGATTACCGATTGGAAAATAACAGTAAAAGCTTTACAAAGAGTTGTGTGACATTAGACGCATATTCCAAATGCAGATATAAAGGAAAGATCAATCGGATTGATACTGTTAAGTAGCTGTATGCAGTAAGCTGTTGAGCATAATATACTAGAATATAATGAGCCAACAGAGCTCTAGAGTATACTAGAGTAACCAATTTGAGCCTATGCATCATTGACTTTGAATGCTGCAAATAGACACCCCATTTATGTAATCTAAATGTACCATTGACTTTACACACTACATGTTGACATCTCAAATAAGTCCTGTAGGTAAAGTTTAGATTTTTTGTAAGAGATTGAGACATTCAATTTTTTGACGATCAAGCTAGTTAAAATTATGTAATTTTAGTACTTTTAATACTTTGCATTGAAATGGTGACCATACAAAGTAGGTATTTTAGTTTAAGTGGAAATAAGTGTAGATAAGTGTAGGATGAGTGGCACGATCATTTTATAGCTCCGGAAGTTATTTATTTTAATGGCACACAATATGCTACTTCCTTATCAATAAGTTTTGATAATAGATTTATCATGCAAAAAGAAATTTGTTTTACAATTAAAGCGGCATTGAAAAAAACCTAGCATCGAAATATTAAAATGGTATAAGATTACCTGTTTCTGTCTGTGATCCATTGACTAAGGCCGACGTATATTCCTTAGACACAGCTGTTAATTAATAGCCCATACAGCTAATGGCAGCTAAGGGACCTACAGTTTATAGTGGAATCCGAACCACATTTTTGCCTTGGTATTAACAAATTGGTCTAATTATCAAGACAGTACTGTGAATAGTCGTAGTACTCACTAGTGTGAACTTGAATCCACACTAGGGAGTATCGCATCCACAGTGTATGCCTATAAATATGCACAATTTGTGACCTCCTAGTAGCTGGATTACAGGACGACGAGTTATTATAATCCCTTTTGGTAACAAAAATTGTACTTCCCCTTCTCAAACTAATATTATTACTATACTAGAACTTATAAACCAGATATGTTTTAATGCAATAACTTTACTAGGATCAACTTGTTTACAAATTTAGATTCATGTTAATATTAGAATCAAGGAGGGAGTTTGGTTTTAGGAAATATAACTTTAGAAGTAGACGAGAGGTAGACATTGAAAAGTGATAAATAACTAAAACAAGTACTTTTTAAAACTACTATTTAGTGCTTTGGAGTATCCAGTGTTTCTTAATGTTAACCTATTTTGAGTCTTTTAAATTTTGCCAATTAACGTATACTCGTACCCTATCAAACTGCTTCGATTAAACACAGACATTTTTACTGTGCACGCCCCAAAAGCTGGTCCATACTCTTACCTCTTCCCTAACATTGTATTTCACTTTCCCTTTCTAGGTGACTTGGCTGCATCGCAAGACAGAGTCCATCCATTTACTGACTGTTGGACGTCAGGCCTACAGCAACGACCAAAGAGTTACTCTTAGTTTTCGCTACCCCAACAACTGGAGGTTGGAGATAGTGTTTGTCACGCGCAGAGACGAGGGACTCTACGAGTGTCAGGTGGCGACGTTCCCGCTCAAAGTTAGACAGGTCTACCTCAAAGTTACCGGTAAGTTTGATTACATTGTAGCTTTAAAATGGTTTTACGTTGTTTCCTTTTCATTTGGTTTTAACTTGGATCTAAAATATAGGTTAGGGAAGAACAGACTGGTTTGAAACGGATATTGGATCCAGAATTATAAAAAATATAATTTTATTTGACATTGGATTAAGAATACACCATAAAACTATTGTAAAACAGAACTGTAATATTGACTTATCTACTGACCTGTATTTTTACCTGGCTCTTCCCATTGATGTATACATTGGTTTCCAAAAATTAAACAATCTTCAAGTAAAAAAGTTACATCTTTCATTCAGTTTGAGTATCTTGTCAAATATACAGTACATAATAAAATATTTAATCTTTATAAACGAGGAGAATTGATTAATTTGGAATTTACATTAACCAACAAGTTTTTTGAAGACGTTTCTTGTGGCAGGCCTTTCCCTCTACATATGATTCGTGTATGTAGGCTAAAACCAAATTGTATTAATAAGCTTTTTACATTTTTCTCAAGGGATGGTTTTACAATGCATAAACGTGACCCACCTTATACATCAAACATGTTATATATACATCCTTAAAAAATGTTATTGTGGATTTTGAAATATCAAGAATATCACATGTTACTTTTGATCAATCAATGTATCTTATGAAGTGTCGCACAAAACATAGTTAATATTATACTATGTCAGCTCCAGAGGTGACCATAACAGACGACAAGCAGCACGCTGTCACAGAACGTTACTACAAGGCTGGCAGTGCTGTAGAACTGACTTGTCTGGCCAGCCATGTGGAGACTCCAGGGGACAACGTCACGTGGAGAAGGGAAGATCGACCCGTGGATAAGGGAGTTAGGTCAGTAAGATTACATCTTCATAGGAATATCAAAGCTTTCTGGCGATACAAGAACAATGTTCATCTTCTGGATAAAAGGGAGTGAAAAGTGAAATCCATAGTTCTCTTCAGTTTTTTGTTTGCAGCTGTTTGTTTTGTGTTCCATTTTACAGCCTAAGACGATAGAATATAGCCTGGGGTAGTTTTAAAAATTAATTCATTCTATTCCTAAGGTTCTTTCATTATCGCGTGGCTAAAATCTATTGGTGTTTGTCAGGATTTGAACTTTGGACCTCAAGGAACGAACCATCGCTTTCTATCACTAGACTCGTTTTTATACTGGTTAAAGAAATTAAATACGGAATACTGTGAAGTGATGTGCATTACACCTACACATTCACTAACCAATAGAGCGGTATGAATGAACAAATTAGTTTTTATAAATATTTAATAAAACATTTATAAAGTATAAACTGCATGTATTATTGTTGTAAATACTTCGAAAAATAACACTACGCTATGACATACAGGGTGTCCATAAAAACGTTTCAGGACTTAAGGAAATAAATCCCCATTCTAAAAGGAAGAAAAAAAGTTTATGGGACGGTATGTCCGAAAATGCATATTTAACCAGATTTCCGCCATTTTATTTTTTATACAAAAATATTTTTATCTGTGAAGTTTTTTATTCGATGATTATGGCTTTTGGTAAACATGTTATCATACACAATACCTATAATAGAAAAAATAATAAAGTTGTTCCGATTGTAAATTTCAAAATGGCGTCCGTTTGAATCTGTCTAAATTAAATAATTCAAAAACGCCTAATTCTATGACAAATAAATGTCAAGAATACTTTTTTTTAAATTTTTAATGTCCTATCAAACAATACCAAGATCAAAAAGATCGGACAAAAGATAACTGAAATATAGACTAACGGGTTTTCTGTAAAAATAAGGCAAAGTTTGCATGGGGAAACCTAAATGTTTTGTTTGTAATTGTTTGATAGGGAATAAAAAATGCTAACAAAATTATTCTTGAATTTTTTTGAGTTATTCAAGTTAGAAAAATTCAAGCGGCCGCCATTTTGAAATTTACAATCGGAACAACTTTATTATTTTTTCTATTATAGGTATTGTGTATGTGTATATGTGTATATGTTAACCAAATTGCATAATCATCGAATAAAAAACTTCACAGATAAAAATATTTTTGTATAAAAAACAAAATGGCGGATATCTGGGTAAATATGCATTTTCGGACATACCTTCCCATAAACCTTTTTCTTCCTTCTAGTATGGGGATTCATTTCCTAAAGTCCTGAAACGTTTTTATGGACACTCTGTATAACAAAACCCATATTTATTCTTAACTTGTGTTGTATATCATTGTGTTGTTTGTAGCTTCAACAACTCTGTGGGCGCTGGCAGCGTGGCAGCGACTCTAGTCTTGAGGCATGCACAGAAGAGACACTCGGGCAACTACACTTGTAGTGTGGGCAACTTAGCGGCCGCTTCTGTGTCGGTGCATATACTTAATGGTAAGTATTTCAATAGTACAAGTGGGTTATGCCAACATAAATTACATTTGGTTAAAATACCATTGCTCTTGTTATTAACTTGGCTTTTATTACCGAATAAGATGGAGTGATATAACACTTTTCCTTTACTTATATTTAAAAAGAGTAATAGTAGAGCATATTGAGGACGTGATTGAAATAAGCCTAAAATCACCAAATAATATAAATAATCTAAATATATATTATTATTTACTGAATAATCCAAACCAAGATTACATTTATCATTGAGTTGTCAATTAATTATGTTATCAAACAAAAGGTAAACGTAAAAAAGAAAACAAGTCCAAGTTTAAACTATCTCCACATAAACAATAATATAGACAATCGTAAAATTACAAAAAAAGTAATGTAATTGATTTATAATACTCCTACTTTACTAATACGTATAGCTAAACAATTGTTTAACTTATTTTATTACAAATCAATATGGTTGTAGTATTACCAAAGAAGTTAGCCAAAATCACTTTATGCATTTTCTAGATACTTTACGAAATATATATTTTATAACTACATGTCATTACATTGTAGGAGAGCTCCCTGCGGCGGTCCATGACGGCAGTTCTGGCACAGTGACGTCATGCTGGTCCTTGTGGCTGTTGACGTTGTGTTGTGTCTTCGTCACATGTAGGTGACATCGTGTCCGAGTTCTATGGTAAGGACTGCAAAATTTAAGTGGCATACTATACAAAACATCTCAATAATTGATACAAGTACCAAAAAAGTTAATCATAGTCATAGGTCTATTACAGTGTTATTTTACCGATACAATTTATTTTCGGTTGGTCGGAAATTTTTAAGTTAGTAAGGAAAATTGTGAAATGTAAAAAAACTTTGATTGGCATGTCGGAGTAAAATTTACAAGTGTTGTTCATTCTTGGTATGATTAATACGTTTTACGCAAATAGAAACATATGTACGGATATATTCAAGGTTACAAAAATTGTTCAGGCTTTGTATACACATATCATTGTATACCAAATTGATTTGTTAAGCAGATGATGCAGAAGTACATATACGATAATCAGGACAAACATCCATTATACTAGCATTATTGCTTCTATTATTTCTTTAAAGGCATATATATATTTAGGCATATATATATACCGTTAGATATATATATATAACGGTTCTACTTGCTGAGAATGCAACCCTGTATTAGATTAAACCCTTTATTAGACTGTTTAGATTCAATTGTAAACCTTATGATTCTAATAGCCGTTCATGATAAACATTGAATTGACAATGTGGGTAATTAGTTATACAACTATTGATTTAAATTGCATTTTTAATTTCTAGTTGCATAAGATAATTACTATTTTACCTAACAAAGTATTAATTGAATTTACTCAACATCGATACACTCAATTGTTTCCACACACGCATCTTCAGATTTAGACTTTACAGTAGGGAGAAAAAGTCTATTTATGCACTGATTAAAGTCAATAACGAAACCTCATGTTACTAATAGCTTTAAATATATAATTTTGATTTCACAATTAATTGCTATTTAGTTTAAACAACTGAATCAAAACTCTCTTTATAACTCCCATTTATATCAATATTATTTGCTATGCTAATAAAAAATTTTTAATATGCATAAACACACATTTGTTTGTTAAATTATACGTTCACAGTTTCTTACAGTTACCCTGGTAAACTTGGCTTGAGTATGATCAGCCGTTATTGAGTTATTCAACTAAAAGTTTGCATAAAGTCCGAGCTCAAGGAGCTTCACTAGTCCCGCTTAATTATGTTATTATTAGGCAAGGTTTTATACATTTTAATCGTATTTTTCATATTTTAAATGTATATTGTCTCTATAAAATGTATACTATTTATGTAATCAGATGTCCTCGCCTAAAATTAATATTTATTCAAGTGAAAGATTAATAATTATTATTTTTGTATATGATTTCAGATAAATCATCTGACCAATGCAGCTCTAAGTGTGCAGTACATGATGTAAAGAACTGAGGAAACAAAGTGGAACAAAAATAGTGAACAAAATATTATAGTGATAAAGACTTAAGTAGAGCTAATTGTAAATAAATTGATCAAGTTTAACTAAGAAAATTACGTCTTAATACAAGAAATATATTTTCTTTTACTGCAAGATATGATATTTATTACAAAGTTGCTGTTGTATTATTGATTTTCAAAAAAAGTTAACTCATTTTCGTGACGTTAAAGAAAGTTTAGTATGTGAGGTTCATGTATCTTCCACTTTTGTACACTGTCCATACAAGTTGCAAAAACAATTATTCATGTTAATATGTGAATGTAGTAAAAAATGTTACACATTAAATTGTTTAATTTTTATGTTTATTTCGCTTTAATTATATTCATATTGTATATAGCTCTGATATGTTTCTAAAGAATGCATTATATATATATATATATATATATATATATATATATATATATATATATTATACTAGAGAGTTATTCTAAATGAAATATGTAAAACGAATTTATATGAAAATAGAAACCCCTATACGGTTGTTGAGTATTTTGATTTTATGTATAAAGTGTAAAAATTATATTGTTATAGTCAATAAAATATGTAAATATTTGTAAACATGTTTACAATTATTTTACCTCAAACCCGTTTGTTGTATTTATGACAGTACTGATTTGTCTAGGTTGATTTTGAAAAAGGATAGACATTAAATATTTATGTTATTTTTCTATAAAATTATTACATTACAATTTATTTGTATCGTAATCTTTATGCCTATAATTGAGATAAAGATTTGTACTAATAATATAGTATGTCTTACACGTCGAACACAAGAAACATCTTCCATTTTAGAAACGTTTGTTGTTGATGTTTTATTCACTGCAAACGGTCTGCTGGGAAAGTTCAAACATTTTTCGCTTTTAAATTGCAAATTCTTAACCAAATGTAGCTTTGCGTTAACAAATTATTTTGCAAAAAAAATTTACAAACATAAGTACGAAAAAATATAAGTATCCAACATGAAATATTTGTTTTTTGTAAAATCATGAATTAATAAAATTTTTATTTTTATTTAGGTGTGATATTATATATTTTTTAAAATTATATTACTAAGCCACGTGAGTAATACAGCAATCCTGTTAGAAAAAAAATTGGGCGTCACTCACCTTTTTGCAATCCAAGTTCCCACAGTTCATTGAACATCACAAACACCAACTAAAAAAATATGATAATGGACTAAAGTTCATTAACGGCCTTAATTCGTTTCACCTACTATCAACGTGCAGCATTTTTCACTATGCTTTAAAAAATAGAACAGTAATGTCATGAGGAGATGATATGGAATTAACTAGACATCCATATAAATTACAGTTTAATCTAAGATAGTGGAAAAGCTTTAGACATTGGTGTTATAACTATATATCTTGAATCGTCACATGATCTAAGCTTGATCATCCTTGCCTTGATCACCATTATAAACTTATTGTTAGGTTTCGTTAATAAATTATTCTTACACAGTGAGTAACATGTTTTATCCGTCATAAACCATACTCACGATAAGATGAATTAATTTACACAATGTCTCTGATTATTTATATGACGTTTTGAAGGATATTTGCACCATCAAACATCGCCATAATTGTGTCAATTATGTTGCGAATGATTCATGCATAATTATGCATGTACAATTTCAGATAAAATATAAAACAAGTAAAATTTTATATATTTAACTTTTTGTTATTATTTTATGAAAGGCGATTATATCTTTAACAAATAAGTTCATTTTATGGTAGACAAAAGCTGCTGAAGGGATTTACCGATTCAACAGTATAGAATCGGTATATCAATTGTATTTTATGAGTCCACATTACAGGTTACGGTAAAAAATAAATTTTTCAATTTTTAATCAAGATAATTTAGTTTAGCTATTTTTTAATATAGGCTAAAATAATACTGGGCATTATAATTTATAATAAAAACATTACCAATATTTTATGAATTTTTTATTTTATGAGACCTTTTGCCAGCTGTGCTGGCATCATCAGACACATCACAAAACTAACAAAAGACCAAAGAAACAAAAAAAATATTGGGCATTTTCACTGAGAACAGAAGAACGCAGTCAAAGGAGTCCTTACCGTCCGGACCACGCCCTTGCTTTACGACGGAACCAATCTGATTCAGCTGTATTCAGTGTTTTTCTCCAAGAATAGTTACTCTAAGCTTAATGGTAAATAGCTTGCTTGGATTCAATACATGAATTTATAATGTTAAGCTCATATCTGGTTATAATGCATGGAACATAGTAGTAGTACCTACTGAAATGTATAGCTCAATACAGTTTATAAAACATGTTGTCCGTGTTACAAGTTTGTAGCATACGATTATCCCCACAGTTGAAACCTTAGTGTAATATGCACTATATTCAGCTATTTTAGGAACTTAGAGTTAGCTAAAACGAAACAACCAGAGTTAGGGTTAGATGCATTTGAGTGACAGTTCACTTCCAAACTAAGTCAAACTAATCAAGGTAACCAAGACTCAAGACACTTCGAAATAGCATTAGTACAAACTACAAATCTGCAGTCTGTTTGTTCATTGACAAAGTAATATATCCATATATGTACACAGTGTAATAAGAAAATATATAGTTAATTTAATAAAACAAAACAATTGGTTTAAAACCTAGATACATTGTAGACTTCAGTGATAGTAACTTGGCATCGATATATCATATATAATGCCATAGCTTAAACGCTCATGCTTGACTTTAAGTAGGGAACTTAAAACTGTACTTAGACATACATTTGATTTAAAGGACCTAAGAAATACCACAACCCAGATGAAAGGAGTTTAGTCAATAACTCCACCAGTCACGGATGTGATGCCGCATGCCTCACATAGATCAAACATATTGTCTTGATGCCCACGCACTAAACTTCATTTTGTCACGATATTGGAAATAGGCTATTTATATTCCCAAAAATTAAACGTCCTTATAGTTATTTTCTCAATACAAAATATATCATATAATAAATAGCATTATAAATAAATCTATTTACGTCAGTATCCCCAATTTATAATTGATGTCCTGTCCAAACCAATATCACTACTTCAGAAATACGTTACCATTAACCACGTATTTCAAGACACCATTGAAACACTCAACAATAACCAAACAGATATTTATTGTGAATTTATAAGGAATTAATGTTTTTCTTACAGTTGTAAAATATTATAAATACATTTGTGATAAAATAGACTTTCATTTACCATTAAAGTTAAGTTTTAAATGTATCAATGTTTCAAAATTGTTTTAAAATCATAATTTCTTAAGGATATAGTTACATCACAATAAGCAATATTACTACCTGTAACATCTCCTTCATACAACAACAAAATATCCCAAAGGTATGTTTGAGTAATTTTATGGAGATTACAATTGTTACAAGTTGTTGGCGAAAGCAGAACTAAAAATCTATTATGTTTATTGAAGTAATTTTAATATAAAAAATTAAAAATTAAAAATAAATTCGATGTTTTGACAAGTGAGGTATGGTTTTTAAAGTCATGGTCCTTACTAAAATAGAAAAGGTAAACAGTTGCCCATTGTTAAAACTTGGCATTTTTAAAGGAATTGTGAGATATCAGATTACTTTAGTAGTTTACTTTAGATGTTGAATAATTATATACTAATTTAATTCTCTAAGAGTTTTAGTTTAATGTCTTTTCTTTTAATAAACATTTTCTTATATTCTTCTTTAACTGCTACAGACGTGAAATAACATGTAGTTATTCTAAAATTTAAAAAATACTAGTTTTTTGAGGATATATTGGACCCCACTGACAAGGCTTGTAAACTAGAGAAGGCCGAGGTGCTGTTATGATATAAATACATATTTTTATTTGAGTTGACCACTTATTTTAAGCAGTTCACAGGTAAAAACCCCTGATCCAATAAATTGTAAAATATTAAACTCAAAAGTGGTCGTTTGTTACCGGTACCTTAAGTAGCAGCTTTTATTCCCTTTGAAATATGCATACGCTTTCAAGATAGAGGTTTCCATATAAACAATTTGGCAGAAATACGTTCGTACTTTTAAATTGATAAATGTATTATTTTATATAACGTATATAACTTAACGCATATATAGTTCTGTGCAGATTGTTTGTAATTAACCTCCACTTTGTAGTTGGCAGGACAGATTGCAGTCAAATCTAGGAGATATCTTAATCCGCAGTTACTAGTGCATTACGCCCATGTCGGAAATGGCATCACTATTTGGTAGCAATACTGTAATTTGTTTATTAACAATCACTGAAGTCTTTATCTTTTAGATTATCTAATACACACAGACAGAAAAACTATTATACTACAAAATAAAAAAAAGATAAATATACCATGTACTAGTTGCATTCTAGCGTCCATAAGGACTTGCTCCTGAAAAGATTTTATTTTGAAAACTTAATCATATAGGAAGTTTACAAACATATTTTTTTTATTTTATAAATTTCATAGTTTAGTTTTAGTATTTTTCTAAATCATTGTGCCGGCTGAATGGTTTATTAGAGAGATAAGTTTAAAGGAAAGTAATGATTAATGCATGATTCCTTTGTAAGGTACATATTATGAACGAGAATGAAAAACGAGACTTCATTAAACAAGTATCAAGGATTTTTTAAAGTTATTAATTTAAATATCTATAGTAGCATAGGTTGGTCTTTTGTTAGTTCTTGATGGTCTAACATGTTTAAATTCTTGCTCTACTTAGTAATTCTCTTGTTTGAACTTAGCTTTGAGAGTATAAGGGATAGCCTATTATATCTTAGTGGCTTTGTACAAAAGCTGTGTCCACGCAACTTGCTTTATACTCATAAAAGTTAAAATCATATGATTTAAAAGACATAGGAGATACAATAGCGTTGTAAATGTTATAACAGGTATCAACATAATTAACCTAATTTTCAATATAGTCTCAAGGTAAAACAAGTTTTTTTTTCAATTCCGTACACTTAATGGTTATATTAACCTTTTACAAAATTACTTACATATACACTTTATTATGTAAATTATTTTTTTTCAGCACTTAAATAATAAAAAGGTAAAAGAGATAATTACTGATTGGTTTGAGAATGAAAAAAAAAACATATAAACGCGTGTATTGCAAAAGTGTATTACTCAAAGTTATCGGTGAAAGTAAAAGTTTATGAAGCAATATCGGAAAGCCATCAATCATTCTTTGTTAATTTTAAGCGTCATTTCTCTCTCTATTCATTTGTGAGGAAAGTGCCTCTTTATAAATAATATTTTTAAAGTATTTTAAACGCCAGTTAAATAAAAAAATATAAACACCCTTAATTAGTGAATATAAATTATAATTTCATTATAAAAAGAAAATACCATGATGAAAAAAAAAATATAAATACACTTTTTGTCTCACGTATCAAGTAGTCTAAGTGTTTTCTACATGAAACGTTTAGACTAATATGATGTTAAAACATCGGAAACTGTATGAATTTGATATTCCGTTTTGATATTGTATAGTATGAAACAATGTTATAGTTAAGCGACATACAACTTTAGGTAAATAAAACCATATGTTTTCTATAATTACATTGCTACGGGATGGCTTAGCTTTAAAGGGCCCGACTAAATTTTTTTAAGATGTATACAGAATTTGCTGCAATGATTTGTAATATACTTTTTTTATATTTATTTTACATTTGATTATTTCTGGTAACACTTAATTTGTTTTAAATTAATAACAAACTGCTATTGTCACTGTAGACATTTTAACAACGTAAAACCATTGAGTATAAACCTAACCTAGAGAGCCCACCGCTATACTGTTAGTCGGTACCGCTTTTGACGACGTAGTTCGGGCCGCTGACGCTTGGGTCGTGGTAGTCAATGGTAATGCAGTACGCCGCTGAGCTCAGTCTGCGTTGAGACACGCTGCGTTAAGGTAGCCTGCACCGCGCTCGCGCGTCAGTCTCCCCCCCCCCCCTACTCATCGTCACTTCCCACAGCAACCTGCCTCTCCCTCACAGTTCGAGCTGTCTCTACAAAGCGAATGCAATGAACACGAACTGCATCAACTGCCTCTAACACATATAACATAATTTTATCCATACATTACTCAATTAAAAAGTTATTTGTCAATATTGTAATGCTACAATTAATTGTAGGCTATACAGGAATCCCAATTTTATTTATTTTTTCTGTATATGATTCACTTACTTGAAGGTCTATCATAATTTTAAACTCACATCAAATTACAAAGGTTTGTAAAAAAATTTTGCCTTTCTTTTTACGTTCAATACTGATCGACTTTATAGCAAACCATTTTTATCGTTTAACCGATAGTTTATTATATTGATATTACAACTAAGTTTGTTTTATTTCTGTTGTGGGTTTACATATTCTCTACATAATATAATAAACTTAAAACTAAGAACACGTACGATAATGCATATGCACTGCTTATTTAACAAAATTCTATAACATAAATCCTAAATTTCTTTATTACTTTAAGTTTTAACTGAAAATATTTACTAGAATTTTAATATGGTAAGTGTTATAAAATTATTTCAGTGTTTATTTTTACGCCTTATTATTTGTCTGGTACCATCGGTTAAGTCGTACACCCCTGATTCCCAAACCACTGTAGGCTACATATTCTTCCTCGGTGACATAACACGCGCTACTTTCACTTTATTCTACGAGAGAAGAACGTTTTAAAAATATGAATAGTTATGATTCGGCTTTACACTAGGCCTACAAGAGTACAAGTAAAAGAGTATGTACAGGCAGTTTATTTTTTTTTATCTTTATACCATTAACTTCATATAAACTGGTTGTAACTAGAAGAGTACAAGTACAAGGGTATCGACAGACACTTTAATTTTTAAAAATCTTTATACCATTACTTCATATGAACTGGTTGACAGTACGAGTGTACAACTACAAAGGTATTTACAGAGCCTTATCTTTAAAAATCTTTGTAAAATTGGCTTGATATAATAAATTTGCTAATCAAGTATACCAATAAATAAATACATTATAAATCAAACAAAATCGAGGCTCAATACAAAGTTATGAATTGAAAAATACATATTGCAATAAGAATTTTACCATAAATACTTTAAAGGCATAATAGAATAATGACGAAAAGAAAAATACGAACAAATCTTGTAAAAACAATTTTCCTATTACATCAAATAATTACTTACTATTAATAATTTAGTATTAAAATGCGTTATGAAACAAGGAAGAAGGAAACTACGGCTAAACAAACAAATTCATCAACAAATACGACGTTTTTAACCTAGCACAACGCAATGAAAAAATCAAATATCTAACTCAAAGTATTACATGAACAAAATACTACAGTTTACACCCTAGGCCTAGAATAATCGCTTTAAAAAACAACGGAACAGCAGACTAAACATATGGAAATGGTAATGCACAAAAACGAACAGCTGACTAATCATATGGAAATAGTAATGTAAAAAAAAGGCAATATAAATCAAACCGGTAACTCTACGTATGCCATTGAAAAAAAATACACTCCTGAATAATCTGAATACGTATTTAAAGAACAACGGGTAACCAAAGGAATACGTATTGTACAAAAAATACAGTTTACAGGGTAACTTATACAGTAAACGAAATACCAAAAAAAGAAACATATCCGCTTACTAAACGTACGTCATGGACCAAAAACTACAATTATTCTACAAAGAATTTACAAGTCATACATTAAACGAAAAAATATAGCAAAACAACGAAATTGCTAACTAAACGTATATCTTGTAAAAAATACTACAATTTACACAATAGATTAACCGTGATACCGAATCTCAAAGAAAAAGCTAATAACGAAACGTGTATATATATATATATATACAACAACTTACAGTTTACTAGAGAAACAGTAACAAAAAAAAACAAAAAAAATACAAACAGCTAACTAAGCACAAGTTATGCACAAAATACTAAAATTTACACCATAGGATAATCACGATACTAAACAATCCACGAAAAGACTCACTAAACGTTTTTCATGAACTTAATAAAACAAATTACACTATACAATAACCACGATATTAAAACGCAACGAACCTGCTTACGAAACGTATGTAATGTTAAAATACTAGAGTTTATAAGGTATACAGTAAACTAAATAAGGAAAACGAAACAGCTTACTAAACATATGTCATGGGAAAAATACTACAATTTACACCATAGAATAATCGCGATATTAAAGAAATAATGAAACCAGCTGAATGATTAAATAAACGAATGTCGTGAATTAAAAATAGTTTACAAGATGCACCAATGTGCAAAAGATACTCAAGTAATAAATAATACAAAATAGTTATTGGCCTTCATTCATTGATCTATGGTTACGTAGTTTTGAGATATGCGTGTATGACAAGAAGCTCTTGAACAAAGTTTACAAGTGTTGCAAATTTTTTAGTTTACGTTGATGTGGTACTGATTTTGTAGTAGATTTTCCGTAGCGGGCCATTCTTAAGCTACGGGACGTCCACAGCACAGTTTTTATAATTTTCAAACGCACAAGGAAGTTGACTACGAAGTCGCGATGCTCCCTGCAAGTAGACTCTAGTTTTAGCCATTCTCTATGTTTCTTCATAATGTCCTTTTTGATTGAAGACATCAAGGATGACTTGACCCCTACTATATGCTTCATTTTTTGAAAGTTTTCTTTAAAAGAAAAAAGCATGACGTCTGTTACGGATGCCATTTCCTTGGATGGAGCAGTCAGATGGCTCGTTCCATCTTTTGTGGAATAACTCCTGTGAAGAATCAGCAGCTCATTTTCGTCACTGAGCTGGGCACCTGTTGTAAGCTCTCGGCTGCATTCTTCACATGAGAATTTCTTCAAGCAAATCTTCGCTAAATATCCAGCAACATACCTGAAATACATTGAAATTGTAACACAAGACATTTGATTTTGATTTGTTTTTGTTTTATAGAACCGTTTTTAGGGGTATTCCCTTCAAACCTATATTCAACTTTTTCATGCTAGTCTTAAGTAGCTCATTCACTCCCTAGGGAGTAAATACCATTTTTAGTCCCTAGATAGTTAAAATCAGTTGTTGTAAACTGTAAACACAGTTGGTGTAAGCTTCGATAATAAGCAATCGCACGTATCTAAAGTATGTTTCGCTGGTTTTAATCTGATTTAGCTTATTGTTGCATTCTTGTTAACAGTTCGACATGCCGATAGTATAATGTAGGCCTACACCACGAATATTAGAAAGGCTGGTATGGATCATAAACCTAAACAAATGACGTAGTTTGTCTGAATCCTATACTAACAGCATTAATCATTTTGAGAGGTTATCTTTATCTTAAAAGTGTTGCCGTTTTATAACTTAGTTTGCTTAAGCAATTGCGCAATATGACGAACAATATAGTTAACTAAACGAGCAAAAAAGTATTTTCAACTCTTGCTCTTTTTCCGTATTTAATATGCCTGTGAACTGTATTACCAGTAGGAAGCAAACTATGGTGATACGTTGAATTTACTGATTTTATAATAATTGCATTGTTTATTTTAGTGAAAAAACTGTTAGAGTTTAAAAATTCCATAAAAAATAATTCTTTAGTTGTGAAAATTTGTTATGAATTGAGTGTTTATGACATTACTTTACGTTAGTTACCTAATAAAGTGAGAAATTTAAAGGCGTACTTGAGCTGATATTTACTTACTGAACAGAACAGCTTTCCAGCGTTGGTTGTTGATCTGGGGCAATTTGAGGTGGCTGTATATGTTCGGCGTCAAGGTCAATATCCGAGTCGTCAGATTGGACTATGTCGTCTGGGTCGTCAACTTCCATGTCTTCAAGTCCACTTCCTTCTGTAGTTGACATAGACACATCGACGTTTCTCACTTGGTCTTCGCCATCACCATCACCATCTCCTTCTTCATCTTCGGTGTCGCTGATTTTATCCAGATCGGACGCAGTGAGGATGACGTCATCGTCTATTTCACAATTAGCAGACTCCGGTGGTTTCATTAGTGTCACTTGGATTCTGTGACGCAGATTTTGACGGAACTGCATGGCAGATGGGTTTTTTTCATAACCACACCTTTGCCTTGCAATTCCAAACTCATTCTCCAAGGCGTCTTGTGTCAAACGATTCGTCAGGAGATACTTGGTGTCCTCTTCCTTGATGTCATTCCAAAGTTGAAGGACTGACGACACTGTTTGGTACAACCCTGAAAAACAAGGAGGTCGGCTGAGTGATCTGCTTGTTTTTTTATCGCACTGCCAGGTCTGTATCCACGGTAATGCATTTTTTAATGTTTCTCCTACACGAAGGCCAGCGTCGGTAGAAGAGATTGCACATTTCAGTGGATTAGCGTCAAACTGAACTTTGCTATTCAAGCAATCAAAAATGTCGTTAAGTCTCCCGATGAAGGTTGCCGTGTTTACTGAATCAGCTGGTAGCTGGCCAGTGCCCACAGCGGTTTGCATGGCGGCAGTGACAGAATGGCTGAATACCTGTGTCGCCAATTTCACTTTCATTCTGTCAAAAGCGTTTGGCGCGACATGTTTTTCAGTAATTTTGCATAATGATCTGGCATAATAAATCTGATTTGCTGTCTAAGTTGTACAAGGTCACAAAGTGGTCCCATTTGGCCCAAACTCCATCACCATGTTGGATGTTTGTTTTCAGAAGAGCATTTCTTATCGACTTGAACAAGTGTGGAGCATCAAAAATAAAAAAAATCTTCTTTTCCTGTACGGTGAAATATGGTGATGATTCGGTAACCTTTAGAATGGCTGCAGCCTTTTGGTTGTTGGTCCCCTGATCACAAGTAACTGTTCGTATGTTGAGACCAATGTTGCTCAGTGACGTTATGCAGTCTTTCAACACAGTGGCAATCATGTCTCCTGACATTGTACGGCTAGTGACATAATAGGCTACTGGCATCTTCCATTTATACGCCAGGCCCCTGATCAAGAACATTAAAACGTGGTCTCCTACTCTTGGCGTCCTTCCATAGGCGCCCAAGTCTTCAAAACCTTCGATGACATCTCTTTTTTCATTGAACTGTAAATTTTTTTTAATAGCCATTTCGTCGAACATCAATGTCACTTGTTTTTCCAGAGGAGACATGTTATTTACTTTGATCTTCAATAACTTAAGTAGTTCTTCACTAATCCCTGGTTTCAATTCCATTACATTAAGCCACCTTGAAATGGTTGAGCGTGATGGCAAGTTGAAGTTTTTTTGGTCACGCATGTTGTTGTATAAGGTCGGCGATCTGTAAAACATTTCCATGGCCAATTGTTTTTCATCATCTGACCAGTTGCTTCGTTTCGTGTGCATCATTTGCATCTTCAAAAGTGTTTTAAATGCATTGCTTTTAATCTCCTTACATGCAGCCTTGTAAACAGTATGTTTACTTATGGTCGTATGTCTGGATTTAATCCGTTTGAGCTGCGCAGATCGTTGACGAAGGGTTGTTTTTACTTTGGTAAGACGCTTACGTAGTTTTACTTTTCTCGGGGTATCTTCGCCCATCATTAATTTCCTTTTGGTTATTGCTCTTCCAACGTGTTTAACGTACTTAGGCGACTGATCCATTGGTTTACTTTGTTCAGATGTCCGCGTATGTTGAACAGAGTAACTAGCATAGGGAGTGGAGGAACAAGAAGGACCGGTGTAATGAAGAGATGTGTGAGAAGTTGTAGATAGCAGGGGTAGTTCTTGGCCACTCGATGACGTCCCAGCCACAGGTCCTGAAAATACACAATAAAAAATAGAATTTGATATTACACCCTTGGTAGCATATCTACAGCATATAATATTTCGTTAGTCCGTGTATTCCACAGACAATACTTAATTTTATAAGTGATATCTGTATGTTTTATATCTGATTTTGATAAACGTTAACCTTACAGTTTGCTCGTTCAAAGAAATTGTTTACACATAGTTTTTAATCATAATTCTAGAGTGTTTTACTTTATACTGTATTTAGGTTATATATTAGATGGTTTACTGTATACACTTACTACGCAAAGAGTCTTTGTTTACATTTACATTATTAATAGGTAAACGTTAAAGAAACTATTTTATAATTGCGTATTTAGGTTGCATATTAAAATATACTAATTTTACTGAAATTATTAATATTAAAATGTATTAAATGTAATGTAATAATTTATGTAACGTATTAAGTAATTTCAGTCTAAATTACTAAAATAAACACAGCTTCTTTATTTATGAACCGATTTTATTCATTTTTGTTTTGTTGGATTTGTCATAATAAATACTAAAACTCTTGTGTCATACAAAATTTTGATTTAGGTACGGGTTTTCATGAAATTTGGCATTAAAAAATTCAATTCTTGGTATTTTTGTGACAATTACTCCTCCGAAACTACTTAACCGATTGACATGTTTTTGGTGTCATTGGAAAGAGCGTAACGTGAAGTTGTGCAGGAAACTTTCTTTTTAGGTAAATAATAAGAGAGTGAGGCCCTGGGGCCCTTTAAAGTTTCGTATTCCTCCATAAGATTAACATGGGAAACAAACATTGTTTTGAAACTCCAGCTGTTGCTTTAACATTTAAATGTAAACAACCAGAACTGTCAAATGTCTATTTCACAATTTCAGACAGCTGATCCAAAAAAATAAAACAACAATGTGGTAGGGTTATTTAATCTTAGACTTTATGATAGATTATTTATTACAAATCTATTTCAATGATTATGAAACAGATTTTTCCCGTTCCGAAGCAAACATTCAAAGTAAAAAGAAGAAGAACATATGTTAATTGTAAACAGTCAATGTGTAAATTATCTATGTTGTATTAAAAATGTGTATAGTTTTGGATGTTGGTTCGTATTTAATGATGTTATATAATTATAGAATTTTTATTTTAAGGATTTGGCATATGAGTAAGCCTATGATAAATAACACCATTTCAGAGTTCTGCCAGTTTTTGCCTAACTCTATTCTGTAGAGTTTAAAGTATTCTACACTTTATTGTCTACAAATTGGCTAAATAATTTAGGTACGGCACTTTATAAAAGCTGACAGCCTTTTTACGTTGACTTATATTGTAATCTTACCTTTTCCCATCCATGGGCAGTTTGATTGTTATAAATTTACCCTTTAAACTGGAATAGGACTGTTGTGTAAATTGTGAGTATTTCAATTAGTTAATAATCTTTTAATTGACTCTTTTAAAATCATCGGAAATTATTACTGTTATTAGTTTTTAAACAAGTTATTTGTTTATAAATAACTCATGTACTTCTTTGCTATTGCTCGATTTCGAGCAACAGGTACACTAATGTAATTATAACTCTACTCTAGTGGCCTACTGTAGTGGATACATTATACAGGTACCTATGTATAAACCCACTTCGGCATTTCAGCAAAGTATGTTATAGTATTACAGTAAAAACTCAATAACAAGACTCTCATACGGATTGTTAAATAAATCTTATTATGGAGGTTCTTATCGAGGTTTGCAGTAACATGTGATTAGGGGTCAAATAAATATTAGAAGCTTTGAAAATGACACTTGTCAATGGCGACTTGTTTCGGAGGTCTCGTTGAGGTTTCACTGTATAAGTTTCTAATCATACGTTACGATTCATTTTCGCCGGGTAAGGAGCATAACAATGTTAACTATTTATCAGAGGCTTCCCCAACTAACTATAAAATTACATATTCATATATGCCTGCCTACCTGTTGTTGAAGTTTCTGGTGGAGGTGGAGACGACGTCGTCGATATGTCCATTGTGTCTTGGAGGGCTGCTGCTGGCGTCGGTGTGGACGACACGGGTGCTGAGACATCGCTGGTATTCCCATCGCCACTTAACGTCGGAATCGCGTGTTTTTCCAGGCGTGTTCTCATGTCACTAGTGAAACACGAACGTTCGAAGTGACGATCGCACACTGTTCGGCGTCTTAACAGAGATTCCGGTAACTCAGACAAACTCTCATTTCCGCAGTTTAAAATCCATTGACTGCACACTTCCGGATTACCTACTGGAAACTTAAAAAATACTCGGTCTGGGTTGTCTCTTTTAGTAGCATTGCATCTAGAAAAAAACACTTATCACCCTGTTTTTTTTGCGAGGTCATTGTAGAAAATCTTACAGACCGTTATAAAAATTTCATTTTCGATAACAAATAGTACTCAGGAAGTCACTAATAACGGGAACTAACTTAAAGAGCTAATAAATAAATAATAACGTTCACCTATATCACAGTTAACGTATACACTGATTAAAGACAACGACTGTTCTCAATGCCACTTCTCAAAATACTGACTAGTTGACTAGTTCCTAGTTCGGAGGGAGGGCTTAGGGTTATAAAAGGCGCACCCATAGGCAGAAAAACCATTTTATGACACAAAAACCATCCAAGAGGGTGTGTTAAGTTGTCAAGTAGTGCCACACTGCCTGCGACCTGTGACGTTTGGAGAAAGTGTAGTTTAAGTATTAAGTGTGTATCAAAAAGTAGCACGGTAACAAAAAGTACATGTTGGAAAAATGTCATTGGTCCATACACATTTTAAATTAGTAGTTTAAAAATACATACATGTGTATGAACAGTATAAAGGAAAATTTACGACATGGATTAAATACACTGTTGGTTAGTTATTATTGAGGGGTATTTTTTTTATTATGCCTACGTTTGTTGATTCTATTTTACATGACATTGACAATAAATATTTTCAGTAAATTAATACATTGTCGTCGATTATAGTAAAAGGGTAAAAGAGTAAAGTTAGGATATTGTAACTATCTAAATTTGTTTCTAAGCAGAATACAGATATTCGAATTTGAAATGACACATGAAAAGTGTGAAAGCTTTATTTGAACTTTGAAACATGGCGGAAATAAATAATTTCATAACATATATCAATCAAATAGAAATATTAACTATATATTATATTTTAATTGGTTTGATTCGCTAACTCTAAGGGAAATGTTCAAAATGTTCAAAAATGTTCATGTATTTTCAAAAAGGTTTATTATGGAATTTTACAGCAATAGCATGCTTACAGACTTTCTCAGAGGCGTAAATAAGTAATGTCCAATCTTACAACATAGGTACATTCATGTAAAGTGTAAAAATCATACGCATTATAAAATAAATTACTCTATACGAGTAGTTCAGAATAAAATGTTTACCATCATATATAGAAATATTTTTTTAAACCATATTGGTTTCGCAAGGAGCACGCTTGAATTATTAGCAAAGCCGACAGCGAGCTCGCAGCAGCGGGATGACTTGCGTCATTGTTGCGTCTTGCATGGTTACCGGTAGAGCGCACTAGCAACTTGATGTACTGCATTACCGAAGGTCGCGTAGTTCGGGCCGCCGACGCTGCTCAGCCTGGCGCTGCACGGGTAATGCTATGCCCCATTAGGTTTATACTCAATGGTAAAACACATTAATTGATACGCATAATATGGTGTCACGTCATTCCTATAGTTTCAAATGAAATTTCAAATAACTGTTTTGTTATGTTTAAATTAACATTGAAGCAAACATCCATTCATGGGATACGATGTACCAAATTACTGAAGAACTCAATAATCCCGCCTCTCTGAAGCTTTGAACGCAATTATGTTTCCACCTTCTTCAACTGAGTTATGAAATCTACTTTATGTTTAATAGTTGAATCTGAATTATTGCATTCGTCTATATTTGAATTATTTTCAATCGATAACTTATGTTTTATGTTTCATGCGTCATACACAGAAAGGGTTTGTCATTAATGTGTAAATAAAATTGCGCATTTTTTCATTTGATTCTCGTATTTGAATTTATTCAATGTATAAACTTTTATGTCGGAACTCTTATTATGTGACGTAAAATATTAATCAGACTACTCTCCTTAAAAAATTATAGGGAAAAAAATATATAATATACTAATATAAGTATGTGGTTTGGTAAATATCGGTATTAATATGGGTGTATTTCTTCCAAAATATTGATAGAATGTTTTTCTATCAATATTAAATGATTTAAGTAAATGATTTATTCATACATATAATCCAAAAAGGCTCACTTGAAGAAAGCAAAAAGTTTATACAAAGATGCAGAATCTTTGAGACATTGTTACTATTCTAATATCACGCAAACACAAAGAGTTAAATTGATTTATAATGACTAATTGTAATCTTAAAGTATAATTAGTTTTTTGTTGTATAAAAAGTTCAATGTATTAATGCAAGTGATTACAGCTGTTTTATTCAATCATTGTAGAAGTATAAGAGGTGAAAATGTACATGTGTTCTTGGGCCAGAGAAGTGTAATGGTGGTTGTAAAAACCGAGTTCAGTTTAACCGTTGAATAATGTAGAAGAAGTTGTGATTTAATGTTGAAAGAATCCCAGTTTGCCCTTGGCTTTTTTGTGTGTGTCTAGTGATTTCCAATGCATCGTAAGCTTTTGAAATGTGGTAGCTCTTCAAAAATTACACGAATTCATTATAACTTTGATTATGTATTTTAAAATATTTCATATACTTTAATAAATTTGAATATACAGGGTAATCAACTCAAGGAGGCCACCAATTGGATATCGAGAACGGTAAGAATTAGAGAAAACTTTAAATGGGGGACATTCAATAATTTTTTGTGGCAGTTAAACCCATAAATTTATTTTACTCCAAAATCACCTGCCATTTTCCAACGAGGCAGCCAAGTTTAAAATTTCTTATAGAACACTCAATATTTTATAATGTTTTCGGTTAGGACATGCAATCAAAAACCTTTTTTTAACCTGACATTTTGTTCTACACTCATTTAGGAGAGACAGTCTATGAAAGAATTACGTACGGTGTTCATTCTGCATAATGTAGCTCCTGAACTTTATTTATTTATTTATAACTATATTTAGAGCAAAAATGCGAAAGTAAATAAGTCTTAAAAATGCATCCACACTTTAAATCTATATCTATATACTATTATAAAGAAGAGGTGGTGTCTGTGTGTGTGTTTGTATGAGCTAATCTCAAAAACTACTGGTCGGATCGGGCTGAAATTTGGCATGATGATAGCTCACATTCCTGATTAACATATAGGCATATTTTTATCCCAAAAAATCCTTCGGGGCTCCGCCCCAGTGGCTCTGGAGTTTCCCATGTTAACCTTATGAGAAATGGAATTAATGAATCTTAACAGCTGTTTCAATTAAACAAGTTGGTTATGTTCTATGATGTTCAATAGCATTAAAAGTTACAAGGATTACCAACAGGGTGCAGCACTAGCACTATTATTTCTTTTACATTTATGACAACAGCAAAAGGTGAGTGAGCGTAGCGAACGAACTTCAACCTGGAGGCGAGTGAGCGTAGCGAACGAGCTAACCTGAAGGCAAGTGAGCGTAGCGAACGAGCTAACCTGAAGGAAAGTGAGCGCAGCGAACGAGCTCCAACCTAAAGGTGAGTGAGCGTAGCGAACGAACTTCAAAAAGAACCGAAATTTCTTAAACCATGTCCTCACTCATAACTGCTATAAGCATTTGATACTTATATGCCAACCCCGTACGAAGGACGGGTACTCTGCTAGTAGACCATAAAATAGCCTACGTAAAAATATTGATTCTATTATTAAAAAAATTGCGGCCATTTTCCAAAATTGCAGCAAACTTGAAAAGTGGAAAAGTGTTTATTTTACAGTATTTTTGGATTGTAGATGCAATTTTAAGACTTATTTACTTTTCGCAATTTTAAGACTTATTTACTTTTCGCATATTTGCTCTAAATATCCTTATAAATAAATAAATGAAGTTTAGGAGCTACACTATGCAGAATGTACACCGGAAGTAATGTTTTCATAGGCTGTAACTCCTAAACGAGTAGCCTAATAGAACAAATGTTAAGAATACAAAGTTTTTTAATTGCATGTTCTATCTGAAAACATGATAAAATATAGGGTTTTCTATAAGAAACTTCAAAGTTGGCCGCCATATTGGAAACTGATGGCTGAGTTTCATATTCTTAACTGCCACAAAAATAGGAATGTCCCCTATTTAAAGTTTTTTTTCTAATTAATACCGTTCCCGATATCCTAATGGTGGCCTCCTTGAGTTGATCACCCTGTATATAATAAACAATATTCCATTTACACTTCTAATACAAAAGCTAAATTTGTTACCTAAATATTTTAGGTAAAAAAACATTAACAATTAAAACTATTTTATAATAAATATGTTGAGTAAAACTTATCTAATAGTGAGAACCAGCAAATAAATGATGTAAAGTATCATAAAAATATAAACAAAAGGCTGTGGTTTTCAAGACAGTTGGTAAAAACCACATCCACAACAAAAAATATTTAATTTAAAACGCGATTTTGTAGACCAGGTAAAAAGATAATTCATAATAATTTAAATATGATTAAACCTTTGAAATTATTTCTGTTTACTTTAAAATGTCATAAATACTTTAATGTGGACATTGTATAGCATAATCATGTACGGGTACATCTAATTACAAATTTAAGTTAACTCTTGTTGTTATTTAATAAAAAAAATAAGTGGCTACGTAAAATTAATTCTGCAAATACACTTCGTACAAATTACTTGTTAAACAGGTGAGGTGTAGGCCTGATTGTATAAGGATATACTGCTTAGTATCATTAAAGCATTGAAAGGGAACGCCAGACCTAAATACTGTTACCACTGATGAAGTTTACCTTTAGAGAATTGAGGACAAATTCATTTTACACTACTTAGCTAAGTTCTCAACTCCATAGCTCCATAGTACAATGACTTGTTTGTACTATCTAAAACTTCTACTTTTACTTGAAATCGCCTCATTGGTAAATAATATGATAATTAATAAACATATTTAAAAATTTTGTCATCAACAGTTTCACACTTCTTCGCAAATTGTTAACTATATTATATAATCATAAATTGTTTTAAGCTTGTATTTAGTTAATAATACAACACGATACAAATTATATTGTAATGCATTGACAAATGTATATTTTTTTGTTTTAACTACAATATAGATTTATAGCCACGTCACTGTGATGATGTTGCTTAGGATGTATTTTGCCTATCTGTGTTAAGAAAAAAAACATACCCTATTGTAAAAATAAATACACAAACTGTCTGTCTCGTTTTACAATTTTACACTAAACCAGTTCCTTTACATAAGACAGCTGTGTTCTAACACTATTGTGTTTACACCTTATATTGTGCAGACTCGCGCTGTGATGTGTCATTCTACTTTCCTCATATCCTCCTTATTACTTTATCTACAATATTTTCTCATATTGCACTTTACACTTAGTCAATTTCTGGTAGCGTTTACCTTGCTAGATATACCTTATAAAAAATATGTATTAAATTCAATGAAACAGTGTTTCTATTATGACTTAACTAAACAGATTAGATAACTGTAAATTTATATGTGAGCCATTAATTTGATAATCAAGCTGTTGTTTTAAAGTTTATTTTCAACAGATTCCCTTTACCTTTACTGTTTAAAAGTACAATGTTAAACCTGCTAATTTGTTCATGTAAACTATAATCAAGCACCTTAATAAAAAAATCATTCGTTACATTTACATACAAAATTATCTCTTCAATGGTTTTGATTCCACAGTGTATCGTCATGATGAAAATAATAAGTTGTGTAATGGCTTAGATTTTATAAATCGTATGAATCTAGATTGACGAATAATAACAAATATTTATATAATAAATATGTATTAAACATGATGTAATCGTTTTTTATGATAGGTTTCCTGGGTCACGTTGGCGACTAATAAAGATATATTTCTAAGTTTATAATTCCTCTGAATAAGTCTGTATCATATTTTCAAATACGTTAGTATACAATAATTGACAAAAACATGCTAAATTCAGGAAGGATTGACTGCAAGCGATTTTCAGTAGACGTCACTCACATTTAGTTACCTAAGCTACGTAATTATCCCACCAGGGTATCACTTATTACGTCATCACTCTCACTTATCGTTCCTTGTGTGGCGTCATTGACACTCAGTTACTTAAACTACGTATAATAGCATTTGAGATTTCACTCATGACGTCATCAATCTAATATGATAAATTTCCTGAGAGACGACACTCACACTTAGTTACTTAATCCCCGTAAAAGCCCACCGGGTTTAGTAACGTCATCATTCACATTTATCATTCCCTGTGTGACGTCATAGACACTCAGTTACATAAACTACGTAATCAGCCCACCAGGATATCACTCATGACGTCATAATTCACGTTGATACATTCTCTGTGACGTCAGTAACAGGTAAACATAACTCTGGTTTACTGGCCTTTCGATCACCATTCTGTGTATATCAGGTTGTCACATCTGATGTTATGTCCTATAAAATTAATCATAACAGATAAACAATATATGTATACACAGATTTCTCTTATAAATGTTGTTTTGAAACCCACAAGTCTGACAGTTATAACCCCGCCGCAGCAAAACCAATTATAGAATATCAATAAGAAAATTGTAATTTGTTTGAGTGGATTTTTACAAAATTATTTCCTTAAAAAGTCATATTAATCCAGTAACATGAGAGTTATCGAGTAATTAGGTATACCCTACAAGAAAGGTAGAGGTTTATTTTTAAAAGTATAGGAATACATTTTCCAAAATTGGCTAACACACATCAACAAATAAGTAAACTATAACAGTTATCGTTTTCTCCCAATAATAATAATAATAATAATAATAATAATAATAAGATAGGATTTTTTGACATTTCATAAATAGTGTTTTGACCTCTAAGGACACTAAAAAGAAAACAATGAGTATCGTTCCTGTGTCTAGGGCTCAACTTGCCCCATACGGTAATAGCTACCTTCCCGTAGAGAGATTCGCTCATACCAGCCATGTAATTAAAATTAGTATGTAGTCATTGATTACGTGTTTCAATGTTTAAGGATAAATACGACAAGCTTTCGTAGAAAATCTAATTAAAAATACAAAATAAAAAGATTAAACTAAAGAATGTATAAACAATATTCTTAGTTAGTTAAAAAAAGTGAAAATTATTTAATGAAAACATGTGTGTTAAGAAACAAAAAACAAATAAAGTAGAATTATTATACTACGAGTTTTTAATGCATTTAAATACATTTAAATAATTTCATTTAGATAAAAATTTGAGGTAATTAAAAAAAGATTGACCCTTAACTGTTCTTTTAGAATATACTTTTTGTGTCACAATAAAATAAAATAAATGAGAAAACTGGAATTAAATTGTATTCATTGCGTAAAATAATCAAAATTTCTTACATAATAATTACTCAACCTGTTTATATAAGAAATAATAGTAGCAGAGTTTCCTTAAACTCAAAAGTGACTATAAACCTTATTATCCTAACATTGTAATAATCCAAGGGGAATGTTATAACCCTTACCCGTATTACAATAGCTTGTTTACTTGACAAGTGTCATTTTCTCTTATTGTTTTTCGTAGAAGAGCCGTCTTCTTACTAAACGAGTCCGTATTGGAACATCCTAGAATATTTTCATGATGAAAACGAAAGTAGCGATGGAATCTTAAAATATTTCCGTGTCTTGTGATGTACAATATAAAATCAAATTTTTCCTACGTTTTTATTGCAATTAATTGGGTGTTTATTATAAGCGTTTATGACAAATATTAAGAGGATTATTTTAATAAAATAAGGTAATTGAAATGACAGTTGAATGTATAAATTATAAAAAAGACTGATTAAAACTGGTTTAGGTTATTTATTAGCACACAATATCATTGAAAACAGACATAAGTAAGTAGCCTATTAAGGGAAATAAATAGTACCAATTATCGAAGTATATACACTTAATTAATTGTAGTCAACTTTTTTGACAAAGCTTATGATAGATGAAAGGTGTATTGTAGCATATAACAATATTATATATCATATTTCCCTTAAAATACGTTTCTGAGACATTAATTGTCAGGTGTGAACATAAATTCCTCTTGACATTCCTTTGGTGAACATTTCACAACCTACGTTACTGCGTTGAAAACTCTGGAAATAACTTTGAGAATTTCCTAAGACAGGTTATTTATTTAAAGCTAAGCTGAGGGTTAATCCATTGTGCCATAAAAGGTGGCTCTAACTATGAATATATTTCACAATGTTATGAATATATTAAAACAAATATTATATTTCTACAGAATGTAATTTTTGTTTTGTTATCAAGTTAGTAATGTTTGCTGTATTATATTTAAGTAAAAAAATACAATGTAATCATATGTATATAATTTATGGGAAATAAAATATTATTTCATTTCATTTCATTTTCATACAGTGTGTAAATTAAGTATGGACCCCAATCCATATTTTTTTTTTTTTGAAATAGTTTAAAATATCCTAGGTTTCGCAATCTTGTAGATCAATAATATTTATTAGCACCCCCTATCAGGGTTTTGGGTAGGGGGTAACTTTTTATAGCCAAAAAATATGTTATAATAACTGAACATGAAGGTCGTCAGTATTAAAACATAGCTTCCTTTATTAATTTCTCCTTCTACTCACCTGACGAAGACCTCTTAGCAGGTTGAAACTAAATATGGAGTACTGAATGCCAGAATCAAGTATTTAAACCATTATTATTAGTTTTTATTCGCAATACGGAGGCTAATTATATCCCAATGAAATCTCTTAAGTCATAACATTTTTTATTACCAATTAGTTTTCTTGTTTATTATATTTACAATAATGCAAAACATGTCTATGAGAAATTCTCATTTTAAAAACCCAATGCGAGTTTCATCGTTTGGCTCTATGTCAGATAGAGCCTGCCACAATAGGTGTCTAGAGTGCATTTGAGGTCAGCATTCAAAACACAATTTGGCTACATATGCAAAACTCCAATGTTATTTGCTTTACTATAATTCTTTAGCCTATAGGATCGTCAAATAATAATTTTCCGAATACGTGCAACAAATGTTTACCATTGTTATTAACTTTCTAAATATAATTATAATGTACTCTCATTTATTAATGAATGTTTTAAAAATAACCACCATCGATTAATATATGTTATTGTGACATTATGTTTAATTTGTTGGCTGATTTGTTTTGTTTAGTCCTAATCCCTAATACACCATGTCATGTTTTAAAAATAAGAAACCAAAATATGCGAATATGCTACAATATCATTACTTATTACCGGATTCATAAATATTTTGTACGCAGTTTGTTTTAATATATACATTTACATTTGATACAGAAAAATATTGTTGCAAATAAAATGGAAAAATAGTATAACTTACTAAGATTTTACTTTTTTATTTCTTTGTAATTAATTCGCGTACAAGTCAAATGTTTTAAAACGTTCAAAATGAACATTATTACTGACCTGTTTATGTACGTTTTAGTGTATCGTTTTTTTCTTCAAAGTAACGTCTTAGTTACTTTGTAAGTAAAATGGTGACTGCGTTAACTCTTTTCC